ATATCAACAATGATTTAGTTACGTCAAGGTATGTCGACTTGTATATCAACAATGCTTTAGTTAAGTCAAGGCCTGTCGACTTGTATATGAACAATGCTTTAGTTACGTCAAGACATGTCAACTTGTAAATCAACAATGCTTTTGTTACGTCAAGGCATGTCAACTTGTACATCAACAATGCTTTAGTTAAGTCAAGGCTTTTCAACTTGTATATCAACAATGCTTTACATCAAGGCCTGTCAACTTGTATATCAACAACACTTTAGTTACGCACAGACATGTCAAATTGTATATCAACAATGCTTTCGTTTCGTCAAGGCATGTCAAATTGTATATCAACAATGCTTTAGTTAAGTCAAGGCATGTTAAATTGTCCATCAACAATGCTTTATTTACGTCAAGGCATGTAAACGTGTATATCAACAATGTTTTAGTTACGTCAAGACATGTCATCTTGTACATCAACAATGCTTTAGTTACGTCAAGGCATCTCATCTTGTATATGAACAATGCTTTAGTTACGTCAAGGCCTGTCAACTTGTATATCAACAACGCTTTAGTTACGTCAAGACATGTCATCTTCTATATCAAAAATGCTCTGGTTACATCAAGACATGTCAATCTGTGTGTCAACAATGCTTTAGTTAAGTCAAGGCATGACAACTTGTATATGAACAATGCTTTAGTTAAGTCAAGGCATAACAACTTCTATATCAAAAATGCTTTAGTTACGTCAAGACATGTCAACTTGTGTGTCAACAATGCTTTAGTTAAGTCAAGGCCTGTCGACTTGTATATGAACAATGCTTTAGTTAAGTCAAGGCATGTCATCTTGTACATCAACAATGCTTTAGTTACGTCAAGACATGTCATCTTGTATATCAGCCAATTTTAGTTACGTCAAGGCTTGTTAACTTGTATATCAACAATGATTTAGTTACGTCAAGGTATGTCAACTTGTATATCAACAATGCTTTAGTTACGTCAAGGCGTCAACTTTTATATTATCAATGCTTTAGTTACGTCAAGGCATGTCATCTCGTATATCAACAATGCTTTAGTTAAGTCAAGGCATGTCAACTTGTGTCAACAATGCTTTAGTTAAGTCAAGGCATGTGAACTTGTATATCAACAATGCTTTAGTTAAGTCAAGGCATGTCATCTTGTATATCAGCCAATTTTAGTTACGTAAAGGCTTGTTAACTTGTATATCAACAATGCTTTAGTTAAGTCAAGGCCTGTCGACTTGCATATCAACAATGCTTTAGTTAAGTCAAGGCATGTCATCTTGTACATCAACAATGCTTTAGTTACGTCAAGACATGTCATCTTGTATATCAGCCAATTTTAGTTACGTCGAGGCTTGTTAACTTGTATATCAACAATGATTTAGTTACGTCAAGACATGTCAACTTGTATATGAACAATGCTTTAGTTACGTCAAGGCATGTCAACTTGTACATCAACAATGCTTTAGTTAAGTCAAGGCTTTTCAACTTGTATATCAACAATGCTTTAGTTACATCAAGGCCTGTCAACTTGTATATCAACAATACTTTAGTTACGCACAGGCATGTCAAATTTTATATCAACAATGCTTTCGTTTCGTCAAGGCATGTCAAATTGTATATCAACAATGCTTTAGTTAAGTCAAGGCATGTAAACGTGTATATCAACAATGTTTTAGTTACGTCAAGACATGTCATCTTGTATATCAACAATGCTTTAGTTACGTCAAGGCATCTCATCTTGTATATGAACAATGCTTTAGTTACGCCAAGGCCTGTCAACTTGTATATCAACAATGCTTTAGTTACGTCAAGACATGTCATCTTGTATATCAACAATGCTTTAGTTACGTCAAGACATCTCATCTTGTATATCAACGATGCTTTAGTTACGTCAAGGCCTGTCAACTTGTATATCAACAATGCTTTAGTTACGTCAAGACATGTCATCTTGTATATCAACAATGCTTTAGTTACGTCAAGGCTTGTTAACTTGTGTATCAACAATGCTTTAGTTACGTCAAGGCCTGTCAACTTGTATATCAACAATGCTTTAGTTACATCAAGGCCTGTCAACTTGTATATCAACAATGCTTTAGTTACGCCAAGGCATGTCAAATTGTATATCAACAGTGCTTTAGTTACGCCAAGGCATGTCAAATTGTATATCAACAATTCTTTAATTAAGTCAAGGCATGTTAACTTGTCCATCAACAATGTTTTAGTTACGTCAAGACATGTCATCTTGTATATCAACAATGCTTTAGTTAAGTCAAGGCCTGTCAACTTGTATATCAACAATGCTTTAGTTACGTCAAGACATGTCATCTTGTATATCAACAATGCTTTAGTTAAGTCAAGGCCTGTCAACTTGTATATCAACAATGCTTTAGTTACGTCAAGACATGTCATCTTGTATATCAACAATGCTTTAGTTAAGTCAAGGCCTGTCAACTTGTATATCAACAATGTTTTAGTGACGTCAAGACATGTCATCTTCTATATCAAAAATGCTCTGGTTACATCAAGAGATGTCAATTTGTGTGTCAACAATGCTTTAGTTAAGTCAAGGCCTGTCGACTTGTATATGAACAATGCTTTAGTTAAGTCAAGGCATGTCATCTTGTACATCAACAATGCTTTAGTTACGTCAAGACATGTCATCTTGTATATCAGCCAATTTTAGTTACGTCAAGGCTTGTTAACTTGTATATCAACAATGATTTAGTTACGTCAAGGCGTCAACTTTTATATTATCAATGCTTTAGTTACGTCAAGGCATGTCATCTCGTATATCAACAATGCTTTAGTTAAGTCAAGGCATGTCAACTTGTGTGTCAACAATGCTTTAGTTAAGTCAAGGCATGTGAACTTGTATATCAACAATGCTTTAGTTAAGTCAAGGCATGTCATCTTGTACATCAACAATGCTTTAGTTACGTCAAGACATGTCATCTTGTATATCAGCCAATTTTAGTTACGTCAAGGCTTGTTAACTTGTACATCAACAATGATTCAGTTACGTCAAGGTATGTCAACTTGTATATCAACAATGCTTTAGTTACGTCAAGGCGTCAACTTTTATATTATCAATGCTTTAGTTACGTCAAGGCATGTCATCTCGTATATCAACAATGTTTTACTTATGTCAAGGCATGTCAACTTGTACTTCAACAAAGTGGAGCACCTTTAGAATACAGCACCACAACTTCTCGTGAGGACGATCTCTGCCGTAGGTGACGTGTCTTTAAGACAAGCAACCAGTTTGTGAGAACCCGTCGGACGCGACCTTCGGATTGTTAGCTCGACAGCTAACCGATTGAGCTACGTCCACACTGTTGCACAATGTGCAAATTTATCGAGTCATTCCTGTGACGTCACGGAAATGAACGGAAAGAGTCGAATAGGTCACGGACAATTACGAATGCTACTGGTAGACTTGGTGTCTCGTGATTTTATTCTACGGACAATTGCCGAATGGATCCGATGCCATTTGGCACACACGTCCCATTCCGTAATCCACAAATTAACGTGTGGCGTGGAATGAGCCGATATGCCTCAAACTGAAAAGGGTTGTTGACGTCAGGCGTCAGACGTAGATTTCACGGTGCATGCATGAATGACGCGCTTTTATATAAATCGTTGATTTTGTGACAGAAAAGTGATGTAGGGAACACTGTAAGGATAATGTGGATCGCACTAAGGAACGAGGGAGACGTGAGCATGTGTAGTGACGGCACGAGGGTGAGTTAGCCTTCGAATCATTATTTTACAAAATTTATGTTGCGTGTGAAAACGGCTTGAGTGCATATTCCAGGCCAATTTCCATTAGCCCAAAATTTCTACGTTACCTCATTTCATTACCCTAACCTCTTGAAATAATCCTAATAAATAGAATGCATTGACCGAACCACCGGACGTGTACCTACTATATTGCATTAGGACCCCAACCCTAAACTCTAAACCCTAGCCCTAGCCCTAGCCCTAGCCCTAGCCCTAATCCCTTGAATTAATCCTAATAAATAGAATGCACTGACCGAACCACCGGACATGTACCTACTATAATGCATTAGGACCCCAACTCTAAACCCTAAACCCTAGCCCTAGCCCTAGCCCTAGCCCTAATCCCTTGAATTAATCCTAATAAATAGAATGCATTGACCGAACCGGCACAAACACGACTGACGTATCTAGTGTAATGCATTATTACCGCTTCGAAAAATAAAATACTAATAAAACACTTTTCTGTGTAATGGTGCAAATTACTGAATGACAAAAATATATATGTAAATTTAAAAAAATACAAAATACAAAATACACAAAACATAACACCTCAGCAGCCCGTAATACAAATAAATATGGACGTATTAGTGAAAAAAAGAAAAATACTTCAAACTGGTGCTTGCAACTTGGCCCGTATGCAACTACTGGAAACTCTCAACATCGTTGGGCTTATGCAATGACATAGCTCGTAGAGATGAAACACCAGTGAGCGGAGCTTATGCGCACTCGCTGAGCCAGACAACCGTGTTGCCATGCCGGCGTCATAGGGCATTGTTTCGAGAACGTGCTTTCGAACAAAATCACATTCCATTACGTAAAAGGGTATTATGACGTATTTTTAAAGTTTGTGGTGCTGTATTCTAAAGGTAGGCCAACAATGCTTTAGTTATGTCAAGGCATGTCAACTTGTACATCAACAATGCTTTAGTTATGTCAAGGCATGTCAACTTGTAAATCAACAATGCTTTTGTTACGTCAAGGCATGTCAACTTGTACATCAACAATGCTTTAGTTACGTCAGGGCATGTCAACTTGTATATCAAAAGGTATAGTCGAGACAATCCTAGAAGCATAATAAAAGAACTCAAGCCGTAAGTTTCTCAAAGGACCTCTGCAATTGCCTTCCGTTGCCTTAACGCCTATCCACACATACAAAACGGTGGCATGGGCATTAAACACACAGGTGAGGTGCTTTAACGTGACACGTGACAGATGTTCCTTTCCACAACCTTATCTAAGGTCAAGCGTTGTAGAGCAGCACAAGGATGTCTGGAAGCAAGGTGACACTTTTACAGGTATATCGGTTTCTTTTATCTTCTATACAGTATTATGACCATACGTTTAAGCAACCTCTACAAGGACATGCGTGTGAAGTTAAGATTTAATTGGAAGTATACTTGAACAAGGTATATCCCAACTTTCCGGTATATCACAAGTATATATCCTAACTTTCCGGTATATCACAGGTATATATCACAACAAAGATCTGGCGACTTTACTAAAGGCATGTTTTTTCAATTTTCATTGACATATGATAATTTTAGAACACTTTGTTTGTTGTTTGTATATTTATTTCATTATTGTTTTGCTGCTAATCTGTTGTTTCACTAATGACGAAGTTGTTTTATTGTTAATCTGTTGTTTAACTAGGTTGTTTTGTTGTTAATCCGTTGTTTCACTTATGACGAAGTTGTTTTATTGTTAATCTGTTGTTTAACTAGGTTGTTGTGTTGTTAATCCGTTGTTTCACTTGGTGGTTTTGTTGTTAATCTGTTGTTTAACTAGGTTGTTTTGTTGTTAATCTGTTGTTTCACTTGGTTGTTTGACTCCCTCAGGTAACCTTGTCGGTCGTCTTTCACCTTGGAACACTACTGCATGGGTCCTACGGTAGGCAAATGTATCCAGTATCTCCTGTGTATAGATAAGATTAAACATCATCAGGAGGTCGGTAGGGTCAACTATATTGTACCTCTGTCGTGTAGGTTACCAACAATAAAACGCTGTCGTACGTTACACGTCTTCAGAGCACATGTGTAACTGTAAAAGTCTTTTTTATAAAAAATCCCCATTCTCGATTCCGGACCGAAAAGGAGTGGTAAATACACTTTGCTTTCAACTCGAACCTCTGATCTTACAGGTCTGAGGTGCTTGGAGTGCCAAGAAGTTTACAAGCCAGATGACTGCGCCTTGTCTGGTGCCTGTGGTCAAGATGAGGTACTGAGTGAGGTAGTGAGGTTGTGAGTGAGTGTGATTGAGTGAGTGAGTGATTGAGTAAGTGAGTGGGTGACGGAGGGAAGGAGGGAGGCCATAGGCTATGTCAGATGCAGGCGAGAAATGGAAGGAAAAACAATATGCAATCAGCCAGCTCTCCTATCACTTTGGTGATTTCTGAATTGAAATACAAATAACCTAGACATCGGTTTTTGTGGAACTATTTTTTTATATCAGTACATAACACAACATCATTAGCTTTTTATCAAATAATAGCGAAACATACCAATATTTGTATACAATATAAAAAACAAGATTTAGTGCCAGCAATAAATGAAGTAGCTCCTCCTAGTGTTCAGCACATTGTCATTGTGGAATTAGGACATGAACATCATGTGTTGGCCAGTTTTGGGGTGTTATTGAGTATTATTGCTAAAATACACGGAATTATCATGAAACGGCCCTCCTATTATCAGAAATTTGCGGACCACTCAACCTTAACGACGGACCACTATCAGCTCATTTGACGTCACAGTGGGTGCGTGGGCTTACGGTTCATTCTACTTTGGCTTTGGACTGGCAGATATTCTTGGGCAAACAAGTCAAGCAACCCGAAAGCCCGCTTTAGCGGTAATACTCAGCTGGTAGCATCTGGAACTGCTCATTTGTGACTTCAATCCGCTTTTAAGTCACAATATGATTTGAATGACGTCGCCACTGCTAACGACCCAACAATACAATTGTGTGCGATGTTTGTATGTATCAATACGCAGTGAATAGTCTTGCAATTGCCGGGAATCGATTACCATTCGATCGTGTTTCTCAACCAATCAGATTAAGGAACACGGTGACTTTTGGTTTACAATGTCTCAAAAGAGGTCCGTGCTCTGTTCTTGAATCCGGGGAACGGTTGGGTAGTCCATTTCTGGGGTTCCCCAGCGGCGTAAAACTTTACTCACTCACTCACACACAACCTGACACTCCTGAATCATGAATTGTACTGGAAACTGGCAGGATGTCGGGGCTTTCAGTGTGGTCTTCCATCTGCATAGCATGGTCATAGAGATAAGGGGCGCAACCAGCCCCAATTACCGAAACCCCTCCATAACATTGTGTACCTACCAACAACACACTCCCTTTAACCACCTAGCAGGGTTAAGTATATTTAAGGAGTTAACTGCTATAAAAGTTTCTCTGCCAGACATACAGTACGGGTAGCGTGTATTGCTGAGACTCCCATTTGGCTTCGTTGTCTCTAGTATGTTCCCGTAAACGTCTAAGCGCTCATTTGCCCGTGATATATTACATATAAATCAATATATAACAAGTTTTATGGATAACAACTTCTTTATTTTCGTGAGTGCGACGTTTCGATACAGATTCTTGTACCGTTGTCAAGCAAGAGTGATACATGAAGTGTAGGAGCTGCATATATATACTGTATATATCAATGAAACAACATAATAGACAAGTGAAACAACATAATTGCCATGATTACAGCAGTAAAGCGATGAAGCCAGTGAGTACAGGAGGATAGTGAGTAATGAAGCCAGAGATGATAGTTTTAATGAGATGGGCTCGGTGGAGAGTGGACGCAATACAGATGGTATTCTGGATCGGTTTGATGAGTGGTTTATAAGCTTGGATGTGAGCTTTCAGAGTTTGTGTTTCGTTTGTTGTTGGCGAATAGGTCAGCATTTGATGATTGGGGTTTGATGCTGGTCAGAGATAATGTTTATGTCGGAATTGCAACAGGTTGATTGATTGGTGATATGGTCGGCCATTCATAGCATTGTTCACAATGCAGTCATTTTGTAAATAATACATTTCGCTGTTGTTGCTGACGGTGGGTTGTCAACAACCTCCTCCATGCCAACGGAAGAAAACAACCCACCGTCAACAACAACAACCCGGAAATGTGTTATTTACAAAATAGACTGTGATTGTGACAATGCTACATAGGTGAAACATCCCGACCCATCAACACCCGAGTCAAAAGAACATCGCACCTCTGTTGCTAATTCCGACACCAAATCAGCTATCTCTGACCACATCAAAGCCAACCCCAATCATCAAATAGAGTGGTCCGACATTACCATTCTCGCCAACAACCAAACGGACTTCACTAAACGCAAGCTCACAGAAGCCATACACATCAAACGCCACAAGCCTACCATCAACCGTGACCAAGGATACTTCATTCCATCTGCTTATGATCCACTCCTCCACCAAGCCCAGTCTATTGTATAAACATCGCATCCATTGTATAAACATCTCATTGTAACTACATCTCTGGCTTCCACTCACTATCCCTTATGTACTCACTGGCTTCATCAGCTTACTGCTTAGCCAATCATGGCAATTATGTTGTTTCCTTTGTCTATTATGTTGTTTCATTGTTATATACAGTATATATATGCAGCTCCTACACTTCATGTATCACTCTTGCTTGACAACGGTACAAGAATCTGTATCGAAACGTCGCACTCACGAAAATAAAGAAGTTGTTATCCATAAAACTTGTTATATATTGTACGTCTCAACTTCTAAAATGCCACTCAAACAAGTTACATATAAATCCTTACTTACAGATGACTCCAAGGATGGTGGATCCAGAACAATATCTGCTCGATTACCAGATAACAGCTCTAGTTTTACTGCAGAAGCAAACGCCATATTAACAGGCTTAAAATTTATTCAAAAATACCCTCAATACAAACAATGTATAATCTATTCAGACTCTCTTTCTTGCCTTCAGGCTATTAGAAATCTTTCTTATAAACATCCACTTTTAATTCAAATTGTTGAGTTATATAATGATCTTGCTACTGGCCAATGCGACATCGTCTTTTTGTTGGTTACCCAGCCACATTGGCATTTCTGGGAACACAATGGCTGATCTTGCTGCCCAGGCAGCAGTCAATAAATCTGTGACACCACTTCTTATTCCATTCTCTGATTACAAAGCTAGCATTAGAACTTACATCCGTGATCTGATGCAGAAGAAGTGGGACACCCAGGTAGGTATCAATAAATTAGATGAAATAAAACCTTATATTGGTTACACCTACTTGGGTTGTCTGTCCAGATTTGACGACGATGTCACATTGGCCATACGCGTTAAACACACAGATATCTGTTGAAAGGTGAAGATCCTTCGTTTTATATCCCTTTTGATGAGAGAATCAGTCAAACATCTCCTGCTAGACTGTGTTGAATTCTCCATCATAAGAGATAAATATTTCAATGTTAAAACTGTTAAGGATCTTTTTAATACTGTTCATTTTCATTTCATTCCTGATTTTTTAAAATAAATTGATTTGATTAATGATTTTTTATAAATATGTTCTGTAGATAGATTTATTTTAATGATATGTAGTTTAGATTAGTAACTTAGATGTTCAGTGGCTGTACCCTCAAAGGGGGTTAAAGTACTGTCAAATGATTGCCCCCCTGAGGGGGTACGTAAGTACCAAAACATTCAAAGTAAATTTAAACCTACTACCATTTTAATCGTAGAATATATGTTCGTTTAATATGTGGCTAGATTATCTAAAACTACTAATAGCTGAAGGGATGGTGTAAATCCAGGTAGCGTCCATGCAGGAAGCAAATGTAATGTAAGTCCCCATGGTCCCTAGTATGGTGATCTACCTTCAGTTGGTGGCAATACATGGCCTGTTATTACCGTGTATTGTCATCTATATTTAAACTGTTTTAAATTTAATTACTAGTTTTAAACTCGAATCTGTGATAATCTAGTTATTTTACTGTCCTTCGTTGACAGTTTTTTTACAATTTACCATTATTTACTAAACTAAACGGCAAAAGAAAGTATAGGTGGAGTTTGATGAGTGGTAAACAAAACACAACAAATCAAATTTGCGAAGCGTGTGTATATCGTGAAAGAAGGGTTAATGATCATTATTAGGCCACAAAATGATTGGAATACAGGTAACACATAACATGTGGGCGCTATTTGAACAATGGTGGGGTCCAACAACTCATTTTTCAGCGATGTCTTAAAAGCCACACATAATTGTCAATCATTGTCCAAGTTTACACAACAAACAGAACATGTCTCAATACCGTGTATGACCCCCACGTGCATCAATACATGCCATGACGCGTCGTCTCATCGATGACGCCAGGCGTCTGATGACGGGTGGTGGGATTCTCTGCCACTCTTCTCTCAGGGCTTCCATCTCATCTGTCGTCACTGGGGGTAGTTGACGATTCCTTAACCGTCTGCCCAGATGGTAACACAGATGCTCTATGGGGTTCATGTCGGGTGAACAGGCAGGCCAAGGGAGAACATGAACATTGTGGCGGTTGAGGAAGTCCTGTGTCAATCTTGTTGTGTGGGGTCTGGCATTGTCATGTTGAAACACTATCCCCTGTGGCTGGTTCCGCAAGAATGGAAGCACAACTGAACAGCATTCAGGTTCCCTTGCACAATGACCAGGTCAGTCTTCTGTTCCCCACAGATGCCTCCCCAGACCATAACACCTCCCCCTCCGAACGGATGGACCTCTCGGATGCATGGTGGAGCTAAACGTTCACCTTTTCGGCGATAAACTCGTTGTCTGCAGTCGTTCTGGAACAACTGGGAACGACTCTCGTCAGAAAACAGTACTTGGCGCCATTCTCGCACTTGCCAGATTCGAACTTGCCTCGCTCATTGTACCCTTCGCCGTCGATGTTGTGCTGTCAGGAACATTCCTCGGAAGGGACGGTAGGCTCTGATTCCTGCAGCACGAAGTCGTCGGAGTACTGTGCGTTGGCTGATGCGATGTCCCAGCGCTGTTGCAGCCGTCGCCGTCGCCGTGTCGAACCTGTTGCGTAAGTGAATTGTTCGAATTCGGCGATCTTCCTGGGGTGTTGTGACACGTGGTCTTCCCGTTCTGGGTCTGTCTACAGTCCTTCCTCCCTGTCGGTAACGTTGCAGCAGCCTGGATACGGTTAACGGCGTGCACTCACTCATTTGCCCGTGAAGACCCTGGATTATTTATACGCCCATTCGTAACGCACGATCTCCTCTGCAGCCTTAGGATGTCCTTTCTCTGACGACTGATGGAGTTTGGGAGATGTCCCGTTCTGGAGTTTAGGATGTCCTGCTCTCTGGCGACCTAATGGAGCATTTAGGATGTCGATAAATTTTGCTCACTCTCGTGAAGAATGGACTCAATGGACGTTTGGAGGATGTCCTGCTATCTGACGACTAATGGAGTTTAGGATGTCTTGACTAATGGAGTTTAGGATGTCCTGCTCTCTGACGACTAATGGAGTTTAGGATGTCCTGCTCTCTGACGACTAATGGAGTTTAGGATGTCCTGCTCTCTCTGACGACTAATGGAGTTTAGGATGTCCTGCTCTCTGACGACTATTGAGTTTAATGGAGTAATGGAGTTTAGGATGTCCTGCTCTCTGACGACTAATGGAGTTTAGGATGTCCTGCTCTCTGACGACTAATGGAGTTTAGGATGTCCTGCTCTCTGACGACTAATGGAGTTTAGGATGTCCTGCTCTCTGACGACTAATGAGATTTAGGATGTCCTGCTCTCTGACGACTAATGGAGTTTAGGATGTCCTGCTCTCTGACGACTAATGGAGTTTAGGATGTCCTGCATCTCTGACGACTAATGGAGTTTAGGATGTCCTGCACTCTGACGACTAATGGAGTTTAGGATGTCCTGCTCTCTGACGACTAATGGAGTTTAGGATGTCCTGCTCTCGACGACGACTAATGGAGACTAATTGTTTAGGATGTCCTGCTCTCTGACGACTAATGGAGTTTAGGATGTCCTGCTCTCTGACGACTAATGGAGTTTAGGATGTCCTGCTCTCTGGCGAGTAATGGAGTTTAGGATGTCCTGCTCTCTGACGACTAATGGAGTTTAGGATGTCCTGCTCTCTGACGACTAATGGAGTTTAGGATGTCCTGCTCTCTGGCGACTAATGGAGTTTAGGATGTCCTGCTCTCGACTACGTGTTTAGGATGGTTCTGCTCTCTGACGACTAATGGAGTTTAGGATGTCCTGCTCTCTGACGACTAATGGAGTTTAGGATGTCCTGCTCTCTGACGACGAGTGCAGTTTAGGATGTCCTTCACTCTGGCGACTAATGGTGTTTAGGATGTCCTGCTCTCTGACGACTAATGGAGTTTAGGATGTCCTGCTCTCTAACAAAATAATTGTCCTCATTTAGTTAATTACTCATGTTGCAATAGTTTTGCCAACCATGATAGATAGGTAATCTTTATTTCCTCCGAAGTCGAAGATACAGCAGGTTGTAGGCTTTGTCTGAACCGCAGTATTTGCTCAAAATATTGTATTCAGCTGGAATCGTGGCAATAAGAGGAAGTGTGTTAAGACTACTGCTAGTACTGTTTACACCATATCAAAATTATATAACATAAGTAGCTGTTGGAAAACACGGGTTCTGAAGTACCTGCAACCAACGATATAGATTTCGTTTCTAAACACTCGATAACAGTCTTGTTCAGTTGGTAGATATTTTCAGTCTTCCTTTTTCTGTCTATATTACAGCTTTGCTTCACTCGGTCTTTCATCAACAACAAAGGAAGGCAGGCCTATAGACTTGGCTGTGAGAGCACTGATGTGAGTTGGATATCGTGAAGTTCCGGGTTAGAAGTGATCTTCAGTAACCCTTGCTTCTCGTAAGAGGCGACTATCGGGATCGGGTGGTCAGGCTCGCTGGCTTGGTTGACACATGTCATCGGTTCTCAATTGCGCAGATCGATTCTCATGATGTTGATAAATGGATTGTCTGGTCCAGACTCGATTATTTACAGACCACCGCCATATAGCTGGAATATTGCTGAGTGTAGGGTAAAACTAAACTCACTCACTCACTCTGATGTTCCAGATATGTATAATATTACGTCACGTAAGTGTGCGACTTGTTTGTTTATTAGGAGATAAACATACTGTGTTCGGAAATCAGAGGTAAATATCGAAATTATAATAGGTTCAAATTTCGTGGGGGTTATAAATAAAATAATCAGACCCATTGCAATTTCGTTAAATACCTCTGATTGTCCAACACGATACGCTTATCTCCATTCTATCATAACCGAGTTATTAAGATTTTTAAACATACTTGCCGTGTTAGAAAACAGAGGCATATAACATGATTATTTACTGAAGTCATGATAGAAGTTTGTTTGTAGTTTAACCCTGCAACTTACAGGCTATATGATCAAATTTGGACCAGACATCACAGGCATCGGCGTACGGGGTTAGTGTTTTATGTTAATGACTGGCTAATGTCTGTCTTTTATACATACAGACACTTGCCTGTTGCAGGTGTGTGATGTGTTAATGACTGGCTAATATCTGACTGTTATACATACAGACACTTGCCTGTAGCAGGTGTGTGATTTGTTAATGACTGGCTTATGTCTGACTTTTATACATACAGACACTTGCCTGTTGCAGGTGTGTGATGTGTTAATGACTGGCTTATGTCTGACTTTTAAACATACAGACACTTGCCTGTTGCAGGTGTGTGATGTGTTAATGACTGGCTTATGTCTGACTTTGTTAATGACACCTGCCTGTTGCAGGTCGTGATGTGTTAATGACTGGCTTATGTCTGACTGTTATACATACAGACACTTGCCTGTTGCAGGTGTGTGATGTGTTAATGACTGGCTTATGTCTGACTGTTATACATACAGACTCTTGCCTGTTGCAGGTGTGTAATGTGTTAATGACTGGCTTATGTCTGACCGTTATACATACAGACACTTGCCTGTTGCAGGTTCGTGATGTGTTAATGACTGGCTTATGTCTGACTTTCATACATACAGACACTTGCCTGTTGCAGGTGTGTGATGTGTTAATGACTGGCTTATGTCTGACTGTTATACATACAGACACTTGCCTGTTGCAGGTGTGTGACTTGTTAATGACTGGCTTATGTCTGACTGTTATACATACAGACACTTGCCTGTTGCAGGTTCGTGATGTGTTAATGACTGGCTTATGTCTGACTGTTATACATACAGACAATTGCCTGTTGCAGGTGTGTGATTTGTTAATGACTGGCTTATGTCTGACTGTTATACATACAGACACTTGCCTGTTGCAGGTATGTGATTTGTTAATGACTGGCTTATGTCTGTCCGTTATACATACAGACACTTGCCTGTTGCAGGTGTGTGACTTGTTAATGACTGGCTTATGTCTGACTTTTATACATACAGACACTTGCCTGTTGCAGGTGTGTGATTTGTTCGCGCGCGCGGTCATTGTGATTGGAAAACGTTCTCCGGGACGAGACCAAACATGTCGGCAGTGTTGTTCCCATGACAACTGCAATGAAAAGCTTTGCGTATCATCAACCCCAACGACCCATACTCCTTCCACAATGCCTCCCATGACTACGTCGTCATCGACGGCAGAAACTGTAACTGTTACAACACCAGCGCCGACGACGTCACTCATCACAGGTACGTTAAGCGTGTTGTTCAGCTTGTTTGTTCTGTTTGTTGATTAACGCCACACTCAGCAATATTCCAGCTATATCTGTAAATAATCCAGTCTGGACCAGACAATCCAGTGATTAACATTATGAGCATCGATGTACGTAATTGGGATACGATGACATGCGTCAACCAAGTCAGCCAGCCTGACCACCGGATCCCGTTAGTCGCCTCTTACGACAAGCATGGGTTACTGAAGATCACTTCTAACTCGGATCTTCAAACGATTTATAGCTGAGATAATACCAATATGACGTTAAAGTGTGGGCCTTGGGCCTTTCGCCATGGATCCTCGTCAGCATCTTCTGTGTACAGTTCCACACATCAGCTTGACAAGCATGGTTATTTTCCAGCAGTCACTTCATCAACTTCCGCCAGAGACTGTCTGTCTTTACTGGAACAAGGCATCACGTCATCAGGAGTGTACTCTGTGAGCCCAGACGGCGGAACTCCCTTCAACGTCTACTGTGACATGACCGGTGATGGAGGAGGTTGGACAGTAAGTGGTGTGGCAACTTTGGAAAGACTTTGGTTTCATGAAAAAAAAAATTAAAAAAAAAAATAAAAAAATGAAATCTTTGGGAAATTTCAGTCTTGAAGCCTAGAAATATCACTTCCTTAATCAAGAGAGAACTCCGAGACTTATCACACTATTTCCGTACTTATGTGTTTACCTAAGCTTCCATACGTCCGCGTTGTCGTTGATGGTGTGGCAGTCATGCAATCCGACCACATCTTTGGGTGACCATGACGGTGTCACCTCTTTCGTCTGAATCACAAACCTCGAAATGAAAACCCGAACATAAAAGACATGTTTTTTGCCAAATCGTGGTACCTCTCTTGAAAACAGAATACGATTCTGTAATAGGAGACTATATCACGATGGGGCGCGGTGGGCGAGCTGTCTAAGGCAACAGGCCACTGATCCAGCGAGCTTGAGGTAATGGGATCGAGCCCCTGTGACCGGGTGTATAAACCTTGGAGTCAACTTTGTGTGCAGACTCTTTCAGTGTTGTCACAACCCCTAGTGTACAGTACACAACTCCTAGTGTACAGTACACAACCCACAAAAGATCCCACGATCCGTTGGTAGATCACTAGATGGTGGCAGCATGACCACGTGCAAATACCTAGTTGCGGGTACAACAACATGCAGTCAACTTGGACAAAGTACTGTGACTAAGTGTCCCAGTCCAACCAGCTGTGAATTGGTACCTTGTAAGGATGGGAAAGCCTCATTAACTCAGTGCACCTAGTGGCTGCACGTGTTGTATGATCCCCAGTATATTGAAACTGATAATACGATTTGCCGTTTGAAAGTGACATCCAATGATTGAGCGAAAAACAAATCGCTTTTGAGCAACTGAGCTGGATATTGGCGCTATACATTTATTACCATAATTATGATAATCTGTCTGTGAATCAAATACTAAACGTTGAGCTTATTCTGCGCCGCAAAGGCAGCTGTCACAAACCCACGCAAAGCCAAGGTAATTTATTTTTCCTGATGAAATTCTGGACCATATTTTTCAAGTCAGAGTAGGTAACTGTTCCGAACATCAATCTTGTCACCGGTGAGTTTGTCTGGAGATGTCCCCACACGTCTGCCCTTAAACTGTTTCTGAGTTTACATTGTTGTTTTTACTACACAGGAAATAAAAAATATTTATTAGCTACATCGCTGACATTTCTCTCAGCGTTCAGTATATTTTCACGACATAGTCAGCTGTTACATAATGTTTCAGCTGGTTCAAAGACGAGTGAACGAGACAGTCGGATTTGACAAGAACTGGGCTGAGTATAAGAATGGCTTTGGTTCACTGGATGGGAACTTTTGGCTGGGTAGGTAACATTGTGTGTGTGGTATTGCTGGGTAGGTAACATTGTGTGTGTGGTATTGGATGGTAGGTAACATTGTGTGTGTGGTATTGGATGGTAGGTAACATTGTGTGTGTGGTATTGCTGGGTAGGTAACATTGTGTGTGTGGTATTGGATGGTAGGTAACATTGTGTGTGTGGTATTGGATGGTAGGTAACATTGTGTGTGTGGTATTGCTGGGTAGGTAACATTGTGTGTGTGGTATTGCTGGGTAGGTAACATTGTGTGTGTGGTATTGGATGGTAGGTAACATTGTGTGTGTGGTATTGGATGGTAGGTAACATTGTGTGTGTGGTATTGGATGGTAGGTAACATTGTGTGTGTGGTATTGCTGGGTAGGTAACATTGTGTGTGTGGTATTGCTGGGTAGGTAACATTGTGTGTGTGGTATTGGAAGTGAGGTCACCCCTCTGTCAACAGTTGTGGAGTTTGTAATATTCTTACGGCCCTAACATCATACCAAGGTCGTTGGTTATAAGAAACTGGTTATTAATTATAGTGCGGGATTGAATGGGGGTGGTGATGTGGAAATGTGGCACCCATCCCAGTTTCCCCACCTTGAGATGATGCGAGGATGCGCCCACCGTTTCCCCACCTTGAGATGATGCGAGGATGCGCCCACCGTTTCACGGGCAGCATGGATCTTCACGATAGAAGCATGTTGATGAGGCACACTGCGTCGTGGAGTCACTTTTTATGGCAGACATTGTTTATGGCCCTGATAAGAGTTTGTCACTTGTATTTACACGGTGTTGTATTTGTAGCTGGAGTGGTGAAGAACATGACGTGGTTCCCTCTGTCCAGGTACCGATCTCCTCCATCGCTTCACTGTGCAGGCAGGACGAAACTACACCCTGAGGTTTGAGCTGACGGTCACTAACGGTAGTGCTTATCACGCATTCTACAATAGCTTCAGCGTTGCTGGGGAGGCGGACAAGTACAGAGTCAGCTTCATGGGCTACAGTGGAAATGCAGGTAAAATCAAGTCATGGTACTTCAGCGGCTAGAGTGAAAATACAGGTAGCTCAAAGTACCTGAAACCCTACAGATAAAATACAGGTAGTTCTGTTGACTTCACGTACTACAGTGAAACTACAGGTAGTTCTGTTTACTTCACGTACTACAGTGAAAATACAGGTAGTTCTGTTTACTTCACGTTCTACAGTGAAAATACTGGTAGTTCTGTTTACTTCACGTTCTACAGTGAAAATACAGGTAGTTCTGTTTACTTCACGTTCTACAGTCAAAATACAGGTAGATCTGTTTACTTCACGTACTACAGTCAAAATACAGGTAGTTCTGTTTACTTCACGTACTACAGTGAAAATACAGGTAGATCTGTTTACTTCACGTACTGCAGTCAAAATACAGGTAGTTCTGTTTACTTCACGTACTACAGTGAAAATACAGGTAGATCTGTTTACTTCACGTACTACAGTCAAAATACAGGTAGGTCAATGTGCTTTACGCACTACAGTGAAAATGCAGGTATGTACGTTGACTTCAGAGGGCATAGTGGACAGTTGCAGGTGATAGACAACGGATGTTGTGAACGATTTGATCTGTCTGATAATTTGCATTCCAATCTATGAAACTTTAACATTTGACATTTCAGATGGACAGACTTCAATCACATATATACTGTAGGTATATATCCTTTTGTCTCACATATATACTGTAGGAATATCCTTTTGTCTCACATATATACTGTAGGTATATATCCTTTTTTAAGGGGACAGTTTCGGTAACCATAACGGTTTGCAATTCTCTACGTACGACTCCGACAACGACAAGTCCTTACGGAACTGTGCCCAAATGTACAAGGGAGGATGGTGGTATCACAAATGCTACGACGTCAACATCAACGGCTTGTACGGCAATCAGGGAGACAGAGGGATGGTGTGGTATGCAATCACGGGGTGGTACAACACCGTCACAGCTACTACCATGTCTATACGACCACAGCTGTAAGTGTAGCTCTTGACAGGGTTTCAATAAACAAAATGTACGATATGTGTATATAGTGTTTGTGTTGTACGAGGTGAAATGGTGGATATACGCGTATGTACAGTGCGTGTCTGGTAGATGCGAGCATGTGCAGAAAGGGGGTACTCCTTGTTTGGGGAGGGAATGGGGACAGGGCTCGTGTAAGGGTGGGATAAGGCTGGGCAAGGTATATGTGGCGAGGGGCAGGGCTCGTGTAAGAGGGTGCAGACCGCAGAGTGTGTGTAAGGCAGTGCAGGGAAGGGGTCAGGACATGCTTGTATGGAAAAGGAATGGGGTTGTGTTTGGGAAAGGGCAGATATTGTGTATGGGTGGGTTGTCATGTGGAAACTCCGAGCATACTAGTTCTTGGTTTATCCCATTAACGGCTGTTGTTTGGATGAATACCAACAAGTGCTCTATCTTAACATTTTTTAGTATCAGGTGGTCGGGAGGTTTCAGGGCGGGTATCAACAATTACCCTATCTTAACGTATTTTAGAATCAAGTGAAAGTATATCGAACAATTGACCTTCCGCTCTCCAGACGGACAGTGTACCCATTACACCACTGAGGCGGTTCCACTAAGACTTACCAGGGGGTGACAGTCTACCCATTACACCACTGAGGCGGTTCCACTAGGACTCTCCATGGGAACAGTGTACCCATTACACCACTGAGGCGGTTCCACTAAGTCTTATCAGGGGTGACAGTCTACCCATTACACCACTTGGGCGGTCCCACTAAAACTCCACAGTTCAGATACCCACATGCGCACATACGCTGACGACAACCACAAGTCAAAGGAAGCTGAATCGGAGTGATACAAAAAATTTATTGTTCTATATATTTTAAAATATATCCTGGGTTCAAATCATATATACAAAATCTAGGATCTATTGACTATTGAAATGTAGATGTACAGTGAAATATCACAGGTTATACATATTATATACGGGTCTCACGAAGTACACATAGTGGACACAGGATAAGGCCAAATGTTTCATTCAAATTGTGTGTGTGCGTGCGTGCGTGCGTGTGTATTGCTGGACAGAAGAACGTATACATTTGGTTTGACCCAATCATTATAACCTTCTCGATAAAGACTGAACATGATGCATATAACGTAAGGTTCAAAGCACAACCGTGTCACGCGTGTTAAATATTTCACTATGCATTTACCGCTGATTGTTTGTTTCACCTTGAGACACCATCGAACGGGAATGGATACTTTCATTTGCCCAGTTGTTTACGACAAACTAGATCCATGAAATTCCTGAGTCCACAACGTGCCAGTATCTCAGGCAGACAACGGGATGTGATCATGAAACAGTGTGGTTCGCATGTTGTTTGAGATACAGTAGCTCTGAACTGTTAAAAAAAGGCGATATGATTTAACATTGTGTTGGAACATACTTGATTTTGCGTGATCTGACAATACAAGTAAACAGTTAGAGTATATACAATGATGAAATAAACATGCGTCTGTGATGGCGGTTAGTTTCTTAAATATGGTATCAGTGATATGCCATATGGGCAGAAGCTACAAAAAGAACTATTATCGTTCTTCATTCGTAAATGGAATCCATGGTAGTTTTCAAAACAAAAGTTTACAAAAATATTGTTTAAAACTAAGTGAGGAAACTATAAATAATAATAATAATAATGTCACTATAAAGCGCAAATGTCCACACACTTATGAATGCTCAATGAGTTCAAAAGAATTGAGTAAAAGAGTAAACTATGGATATTTCGGTGAACGATTTTTAGCAAACAATAAACGATTCGAAACATCTATTCCGAAATCAGTCGTATTCAGAATGAGTATCATGACCTTTATCTCGAATTTGATATTACGTTCCCCTTGGACACTTACTTACCGGAAGTAAGCTGTAGTTCCATGGTTGTTGCTGATGTCACTAGTCAGTATAATATTTATCCTGATTGCTCAACAAGTTACCATGTAATCTCCGATACACCAATGCCTCGTTCAGCTTGAACACACATACATCTCTTTCACGAAATAATGTGGTTAGTTCTATGAAAGTATGAAACATGGCAAACTAGCTTCCGTGGAATGAGGGCGCGTAGTACCCGAACACACTACGATATTGTTGTGATATGGGTTCGACAATACTACAGTGTCGGGATGCTACGCGTTCGGTTTTAAATTAAATTTAGAGCTATTATACTTTCGTTATATACCTCGCATTTTCCCACACAGTAGCTTTATCTCCTAATTATGAACCATGGTGGCTGCTGAAGAAAATCACAAGATAAAATGGAAAGCGACATAAAGCGAGTTATCAACATTGCATCGGCGTAAATGCCACATAAATACCTTATACACACACGATTGTATAACACATGTATATCCCGTACAAAACAATGGTATTAAAATAGTTTGATTGGCGTAACCTGAAGTCGTCAGTGACGGGCACTGTCTGGTATAGCACAGGGGGAAGAAGACACGTATGGATTGACAAGGTGATTGGAATATACAGTGAATTATACTTATTGCGAATACAGGTAAGGCCAACTGATGGTTATAACGAGGTGTATCTTTGTTCCAACCACTCGCTGTATAATCGAAATGCATATGATGTACGCCGGTTATTACGAATTAAGATGAATGCCCCCTTGTGAGTTAATTACAACCGTAGATTACAGTGCCAGATAGATGGGAAGTGGCTTACATGGGGTAGTGATAGCTATCATTTGTTAGACTTTCTAAATAGTCCACTGGAATCTAGGCCCTGGTCAACAATGGACGTACAACACAGTTGTTGATATGGGAAGTGGCTTACATGGGGTAGTGATAGCTATCATTTGTTAGACTTTCTAAATAGTCCACTGGAATCTAGGCCCTGGTCAACAATGGACGTACAACACAGTTGTTGATATGGCACTTGCATTACTGGCTTCTCACGGATACACCCATATGAATTTGGTGCTTTGCTGTCTTCAGGAAGCAGATTGGAATTCTGTAGACAATATGCCTTTGGAGGCGGCGCCATATCAAAGCGAGTGTTTGGTGAAGCGGCAGTAAAATCTAGAACCCTGACGAAGGTGACCTGGAAGAGAGACCACAAATGAAACGAAAAGTTCACCTTTAAGGGAATGTGTTATGTGTCTATAAGACAGACACGTGGGATGTGGAAATCGGATCAGGGATATGGAAATGGGGTCAGGGATGTGGAAATGAGGTCAAGGATGTTGAACTAGGGTCAGGGACGTGGAACTGGGGTCAGGGACGTGGAAATGGGGCCAGGAATGTGGAAATGGGGTCAGGGATGTGGAAATGAGGTCAGGGATGTTGAACTAGGGTCAGGGACGTGGAACTGGGGTCAGGGACGTGGAAATGGGGCCAGGAATGTGGAAATGGGGTCAGGGATGTGGAAATCGGGTCAGGGATGTGGAAATGGGGCCAGAGATGTGGAAATGGGGGTGGAAATGGGGTCAGGGATGTGGAAATCGGGCCAGGGATGTGGAAATGGGGCCAGAGATGTGGAAATGGGGGTGGAAATGAGGTCGGGATGAGGAAATGGGGTCGGGATGTGGAAATGGCGTCAGGGATGTGGAAATGGGGAAATGGGGTCAGGGATGTGGAAATGGGGTCGGGATCTGGAAATGGCGTCAGAGATGTGGAAATGGGGTCAAGGATGTGGAAATGGGGCCAGAGATGTGGAAATGGGGCCTGGGATGTGGAAATTGGGCCATGGATGTGGAAATGGGGCCAGGGATGTGGAAATGGCGTCAGAGATGTGGAAATGGCGTCAGGGATGTGGAAATGGGGCCAGGGATGTGAAAATGGCGTCAGGGATGTGGAAATGGGGCCAGGGATGTGAAAATGGGTCAGAGATGTGGAAATGGGAACAGAGATGTTGAAATAGGGTAAAACTGTGTTGTTTTGTTGAAATGACGTACGTAAATACTTCCAGCTATGCGACGTATGCCAGAACAGTGCGATGATTAATAGACAAGGAAGATACAGGGACCAAGCTTTTACTTCGTGACAGACGAAGATCGACACACCCAAGCTCGGCAGAGGGGTGTTGACTGCGTGGTATTTAAATTATCCCTATCATATACTGTGAATAAAAAGTTAAGCGCCTCCCTGTATATTTTGCCAATATAGGTTGTCTCATAGGAAATCTTACAGAAAAAAACAACTATTATACTTGTAATTTGGTTTAGTATTTTCAGTTTAAAAACAAAACCTTTATGGAAATTATCTTTAACTTTAGACAGGATGTATGCGCTTTTGGAAAAAACATGCATTTTGTTTTCCTCAAAAAGGTTACCTTCTTTTGAAAAGTGAAACGTATAATCACGTTATATACCTCTGATTTTCCAACACATCATGTAATTTTGTAAATCTTAATAACGCGGTTATGGTAGAATGGAGATAAACGTACTGTGTTTGAAAATCAGAGGTATATAACTCTAAATTTGATTTAAAACCGAACGCGTAGCGTGAGGATTTAAATAAAACGTAGGAATAGTTAGTCTGCTTTAAAAAGCAGTGCCATCATATCTTTAACAGTATTTCCTCTAATTTTAAATTCAATTGATTATGATATCCATAAATCAGTTACCAGATGAACCTTCTCTAAATATGGATTGGTCTTCCCAATTATTTTAGCCTAACATTTCCACAGCTTCACACCCTAGTTTTGATATAGGCTGGCGCTTGACTTTCTATTCTCGGTATACATCTTGCTTCATATGCGCGTACTCTGCATCTTACAAACACTAACACTTGAAACTCGTTAGACAACTATTGACGGAATTTGAAATGACATGAAAAATTACATTACTTTTGTCCCACAGGAATGGATCTCTCCCTTGGGAGTAGGCGTCCCTGGAAATAGAGTAAAATGATTGATAGTAAAAATAATGAAATATCTGTCTGCGAATATACTGAAACAACAAGGACGAGTTTGGATCGTATCAGCCGGGGACCGCATCAACAGTGGACCGTATCAACACGGGACCGTATCAACAGTGGGCCGTATCAACAGGGGACCATATCAACATTGGACCGTATCAACAGGGGACCGTATCAGCAGGTGACCGTATCTACAGGGGACCGTATCAACAGTGGACCGTATCAACAGTGGACCGTTTCAACAGGGGACCGTTTCAACAGGGGACCGTATCAACAGGGGACCATATCAACAGGGGACCATATCAACATTGGACCACATCAACATTGGACCGTATCAGCAGGGGACCGTATCAGCAGGGGACAGTATCAACAGTTTACCGTGTATCAACCGTATAAACCCAGGAACGAGAAACACTCGTCAATCTGTAAGTGGAAAACTCCAGTTAGCCAATCTCGGCCATTTCCTTAACCTCAAGGCCCAATGGCTGTTGGCTATGGTGTAACGTCTCCCCACAGAGTAGACAGATATCGACCCAAACAAACTCGCGGATACACAGTTTCAGATCAATGCTTTGTCTATGAAAAGACATATTTTTATGGAAACAAATAACTCGTCTCAGCCGGGTGATTGTCTAAACTTGAAGGAAATCAAGATATGCTTCATGTAACATATAAATAAAATATGAATGTGCGTACTTGTTGCGTAGGCCCGACATCCATTTACAATGCGGCAATTGGTCCGTGGGACCTTCTACCAAGCTGTCTGTGAGGCGCTAGGGCGGTAACAGTCATCACATTTACTTTTGGGTGAACAGACAATTGTGAACAAAGCCACTTATCCAAGGTGAGACTATATGTGTTACGTGTGCTTCGTTGTGAGTCAGGATTGCCGTCCTGGAAACTCTCAGGAGTCAAGCTGCCAAACATGGTCACCCGTCAGCGACAGGACCACAGGACCACACAAGACCACTCCATGCACAGGACCACACACCACAACGCTAGACCCAGGGGAGAGGACGCTAGACCCAGGTGAGATGACGCTACACCCAGGTGAGAGGACTCTAGACCCAGGTGAGAGGACGCTAGACCCAGGTGAGAGGACGCTAGACCAAGGTGAGAGGACGTTAGACCTAGGTGAAGTCCCAGATGAGAGGACGCTACACCCAGGTGACAGGACGCTAGACCCAGGTGAGACGACGCTAGACCCAGGTGAGATGACGCTAGATCCAGCTGGAGGACGCTAGACTTAGGTGAGAGGATGCTAGATCCAGGTGAAGTCCCAGGTGAGACGAGGCTAGACCCAGGTGAAGTCCCAGGTGAGACAACGCTAGACCCAGGTGAAATCTCCAGTGAGACGACGTTAGATCCAGGTGAGAGGACGCTAGACCCAGGTGAAGTCCCAGGTAAGAGGACGCTAGACCCAGGTGAGAGGACGCAAGACCCAGGTGAGACGACGCTAAACCCAGGTGAGACGACGCTAGACCCAGGTGAGACGGACCTAGATGAGAGGACGCTAGACCCAGGTGAGAGGACGCTACACCAAGGTGTGTGTCGCCGAGTTCAGTCGGGGTTCGGGACTTACAATAAATTTCTCATTTGGGTAATTTGTGAGTGTGAACGAATATAAATGATTGCGTCCATTGTTCAGCAATATCACAGCCGTTCCCTCTACTCACCTGTTGAAATCGGAGAACGTCTTTCTGTCATATCGATCTGTCCACTCGCCTCGGAACCTGTAGATATAGACGTACACAATCACGATGGTATAAATACAATAAAAGTAGTAGTGAAGTAGTCACGAGTGAACACAGGGTATACCTTCCAACATACACTACACCAATCGCCCAAAATCCGCCTTTGTGTGTGTTTCCCTACAGCGTGAATACATACAGAGCACAAACATACAGAGCACAAACTTACGGATCATATCTATAACGGATCAGCCTTCGGAAAATAATATCTCGAAAAATATACCAAACAACGATTTCCGTCGATATATGTACAACAAACAAAAAGTCTGTATTTCACATGCACAAGGTTGTTGTGTTTGGGCGTTTGAATCAAACATGATGCTGGTGTGTTTCAGCACCCTTGTTTTTCACTGTTTTTGACAATGTTTGATTTCACTCAAACTCAACGAATATTGAATCAGTTGCTTCACTGCATGTTCCAACATGTCGTTTATAGTGCCCATTAAGCACACAAAAAGTTGCATTTATCATAGAGTATAGATAACCCCACCTCGTTTAGGTTTATATATGGTCATCAAATTTTAGAGTGTTCCCATACTTTTTGCTTGTAGTATATAATCACTTTTGTGGTAATCCTTGATCGGCAATTATAGTTGTATAAGCAAAACACCCGAGACAGTGAAATGTCAATATTCTTTAAACTTTACATGCAAAAAGTGTTAGATATAATGCGCTATCACGACAACAACATGTAGATAATGACGACCCTGTACACGTGTCTATACTAGAGTGTTTCTGTGATGATGCGCTATCACGACAACAACATGTACAGAATGACGACCCTGTACACATGTCTTTACTAGAGTGTTTCTGTGATGATGCGCTATCACGACAACAACATGTACAGAATGACGACCCTGTACACATGTCTATACTAGAGTGTTTCTGTGATGATGCGCCATCACAACAACATGTACAGAATTACGACCTTGTACACATGTCTATACTAGAGTGTTTCTGTGATGATGCGCTATCACGACAACAACATGTACAGAATTACGACCCTGTACACATGTCTATACTAGAGTGTTTCTGTGATTTGGGCTTTTGCCGATACTATGTCCGCCCTTTCCGGGTGTTGTTGGAAACTAAGACTGGTGATAAATGTTAGCTACACGGAAGACACACCCTAACATTGGTGTTGGACGTGCGATCGTAATCAGCCCAAATTTGGAATTTAGAACCCCTCTCGTGAGTTTGAGGAACTTCTTGAGGACTTTACACAAGGAACGGCGGCACTTTCGACAATGATATCCGCAGCCACAAGACCCATGGGGAACAAATTATGTTTCCTATATACGCTGTACATATAATATACCATCAGTCTAATCGGCTCCTCTCGCGGATATACAGTACCTGTTGTCTGAGGCTCAACCTGTCACTGTAGCAATACTTTATGTATGCCCGATGGCATGAGATTAAATAGGTGACACCCTTAATAGTGAGTATCTCCCAGCCCACAACCCAGTCACAAAACCCATAGAGGTAAAACGACCTTACATGTTCGACTTAAAATAATCTTTGTCTTTTTATGCACCCATTCACATTTATAATAGACACTTTCCTTTCTGAGAGGGTTCTGCTGGATTCCGGAGATTGAGGAAGTGATTGGCTTTATATCATACTGAATATAGCAACAACGACTGTTTTCTTGAACGTACAGTCTTCATTAGCGATGCTAGATTGACTGAGACTCACCCTTCGTTATCAATGCTAGATTGACTGAGACTCACCCTTCGTTATCGATGCTAGATTGACTGACACTCACCCTTCATCATCGATGCTAGATTGACTGAGACTCACCCTTCATTATCGATGCTAGATTGACTTAGACTCACCCTTCATCATCGATGCTAGATTGACTGAGACTCACCCTTCATTATCAATGCTAGATTGACTGAGCCTCTCCCTTCGTTATCGATGCTAGATTGACTGACACTCACCCTTCATTATCGATGCTAGATTGACTGAGACTCACCCTTCGTTATCAATGTTAGATTGATTGAGACTCCCCCTTCAATATCAATGCTAGATTGACTGAGACTCACCCTTCATCATCGTTGCTAGATTGACTGAGACTCACCCTTCATCATCGATGCTAGATTGACTGAGACTCACCCTTCGTTATCAATGCTAGATTGATTGAGACTCCCCCTTCAATATCAATGCTAGATTGACTGACACTCACCCTTCATCATCGATGCTAGATTGACTGAGACTCACCCTTCGTTATCAATGCTAGATTGACTGAGACTCACCCTTCATTATCGATGCTAGATTGACTGAGACTCAACCTTCATTATCGATGCTAGATTGACTGAGACTCACCCTTCGTTATCGATGCTAGATTGATTGAGACTCACCCTTCATTATCGATGCTAGATTGACTGAGACTCACCCTTCATTATCGATGCTAGATTGACTGAGACTCACCCTTCATTATCGATGCTAGATTGACTGAGACTCACCCTTCATTATCAATGCTAGATTGACTGAGACTCACCCTTCATTATCGATGCTAGATTGACTGAGACTCACCCTTCATTATCGATGCTAGATTGACTAGGATTCACTTTTCATTATCGATGCTAGATTGACTGAGACTCACCCTTCATTATCGATGCTAGATTGACTAGGATTCACTTTTCTTTATCGATGCTAGATTGACTGAGACTCACCTTTAATTATCGATGCTAGATTGACTGAGACTCACCCTTCGTTATCAATGCTAGATTGATTGAGACTCACCCTTCATTATCGATGCTAGATTGACTGTGACTCACCCTTCATTATCAATGCTAGATTGACTGAGACTCACCCTTCATTATCGATGCCCGATCCCACTGAGACTCACCCTATATTATCGATGCCAGGTTGACTGAGACTCACCCTTCATCATCGACGATGGATCGCACTCAAACTCACCCTTCATTATCGATGCCGGATCGGACTGAAACTCACCCTTCATTGTCGATGCCGGATCGCACTCAAACTCACCCTTCATTATCGATGCCGGATCGCACTGGAGGCCGAAAGCCCGACTGATTCCGCTCCGCCATATAGTCCTCGTAGGTGTCGGAGCTCGCTCGAGCGATGCGGGGCCCGGCGTAGCTGGTGTAGGGCTTGGGCCGGAAGTCGGCTGTCCGAGTCTGCAGCTCATAGGCGTTGGGGTAGTTGGTTCTGGGGAAGGATTCGGGAATGTTGGAGCGAGGGAGCGAAGAGTTGTAATGTCTGTGCGAGGACCTGTGGCCACGGTCTATAGAACCTTCTCGGATACCGCGGGAACCCGATGGGAACGGAGTGTACATGCTGCAAGAATAGTGATGAAACAGTTGTACATGGTGACTCGGTGGTGTAGACGCGTGTTAGTGTAGGAGATTTATTACTTAACACCCTATACTTGTCCCCCGTGAATATCAGGGTTAATCTTCAACAACCTATACTTGTCCCCCGTGAATATTCGGGTTAGTCTTCAGCAACCTATACTTGTCCCCCGTGAATATCCAGGTTAGTCTTCAACAACCTATACTTGTCCCCGTGAATATCAGGGTTAGCCTTCAGTAACCTATATTTGTCCCCCGTGAATATAAGTGTTAGTCTTCAACAACCTATACTTGTCATCCTTGGATGTTCGGGTTAGTCTTCAACAACCTATACTTGTCGTCAGAGGCAACGAACCAAAATGCATGGTTTTGGATCACAGAGTTTAACTGTATTCAAGAATCTGTCGAGATCTGTACGTGTATCTACCTACCTGTCGAGATCTGTACGTGTATCTACCTACCTGTCGAGATCTGTACGTGTATCTACCTACCTGTCGAGATCTGTACGTGTATCTACCTACCTGTCGAGATCTGTACGTGTATCTACCTACCTGTCGAGATCTGTACGTGTATCTACCTACCTGTAGGGTCTGTAGTGTTCCCCCTCGCCTGTGTTCAAACTGAACTCGGAGGCAGGCCTGTACAACAAAAAGAAGTAGACGAATTTCGACTTACTCCTTGGCTAATCTGCCATCCATCATCAATCCATCTGCCAAATCATCCATCCATCTATCCTTCCGTCCATCCAAACGTTAATCCATTCAGCCAAACCACCCATCCTTCCATCCACCAGCCAAAAAATCCATCCATCCCTCTATCTATCAGTCTAACCATCCATCCAAAAAAAGTTAATCCATCCATCCACGTCCATTCATTTGTAAATTCGTGATATGTTTCAACAATGATCCATCATGTAAATGGTCAAACTGTCCATCTGACAACGCCCATAACACCAGCCAGTATACGTGTTCACTAAAACCTCATGTTTCTACATTCTTGTTACGTCTTTTCTCACTTATGCGTGTATCAAGGAATAATGTTTGTATTACGAATAATGTGATCTTGTGTAAAGTATGCGCTCATATCGTATTGGGCACTCCTTTATCTGTCACTCGTTTTCGACTTTTTTGCCCTTTGCCCATTTCTGCGAAATGTTCAGCGGGGTAACCTAGTGGTTAGATCGTCCGCTCGTCACGCTAAAGACACATTGGGTACAATGTGTGAAGCCCATTTCTGGTGTACCCCGCCGTGATGTTGCTGGAATATTGATAAAGCTGAACTCATCCATTCACTCACTCTCACAATCCGCCAGTCGGAACCAGTCAGTGGAGAGGTATATGTTAAGATTATTTGCTATGGTCACGGTAGGGGACGGCCGCTCCGTCTATATACCTCTTGTGCGTCTTGTCCCGGCGTCTCTTGTATAAGCAGGCACACATCATGACGACCACCATGATGATCAGGAGGATGCAGATGGCGGCCACCACGCCGATGACGATCAGCTCCTGTTGCGTCAGGACCGAGGAGTCAGTGGACGTGGTCGAGGTCACTGAAGCAATAAACGAATTAAGGTCAGAAGGCTGACGTTGTGTGCTGGCGATTAGGTGCCTCACGCTGGGAGTGGGTTCGAATCCCGGATGGGACTCAACCCCAAAAGTACTAGATCTGTTCTTTACTGAAACAGTGTCATTCCAAAAACAACAGGTGTTTTATTTGACCGCTTTCTAAATGGCACTGTGTATTCAATCAATGAATCATTGTTCCGTACTGAAGCGGCCAGGGTCCTAGAGTACGTAAAACATACATACATTTACATTTACCCGAGTAGTACCTTTTACATTTTTGTCAACGTTTATTTTTTCTTTGTAATGTTGCACGGGATATTACCATTGATAAATTAAGAGCCATGTGAATTAATCCAGAGCCATGAGTGTTGCTTATTTAGTAACTTTCGGATATATAAACGATGATATAATAAATATTTTCTTATAATGATAAATATTTTACAGCGGACAACCAAGAAGGAAATGGTACTCGTCCTCGACAGTATTTAAATCACATAGTTGGCACAGTCTCTCTTGTCGATTAATATTAGTATAGCGTTCAGTTTATGTTAATATATATAGATTATGAGATGAAAATCAAGTAAACACACATTTATACATTAAAATATGTTTATAACGAATACGTTTATAACTTTCTCACGGATGTAACGAGCGGTTTGGGTTTTACATATAACTTTCTCAAGGATGTAACGAGCGGTGTTGGTTTTGCATATAACTTTCTCACGGAAGTAACGAGCGGTTTAGGTTTTGCATATAACTTTCTCACGGATGTAACGAGCGGTTTGGGTTCTGCATAGTACTTACTACGGTTATATCGAAATCACAGATGTAACGAGCGGTTTGGGTTTACATATGACTTACTACGGTAACATTGAAATCTCGGATGTAACGAGCGGTTTGGGTTTTGCAAATATAACTTACTACGGTTATATCGAAATCACGGATGTAACGAGCAGTTTGGGGTTTGCATATATTCAGTATATAATTTGATACGGTTATAATGAATTCACGCATGTAACGAGCGCTTTGGGGTTTGCATATAACTTTCTCACGGATGTAACGAGCGGTTTGTGTTTTCCATATAACTTACTACGGTTATAACGAACTCACGGATGTAAGAAGCGGTTTGGGTTTTGCATACAACTGACAAATGTTATAACGAACTCACAGATGTAACGAGCGGTTTGGGTTTTGCATATAACTTACTACGGTTATGTCGAAAGAAAATCAGTTGTCCTTTGATTCCGTTGTAACTGTAGTTATTGTATGTAAGTATCAATGTATACACCATGTATTGTTTTAGAAAGTGAACAAATGAAACATAGGTAACAATGTAACATATTACACCTTCTGAGTTAAGTAACGAGATAATAGATGCCCATGTCATACGTTTAGATAGGTTTTTGAACTAGAGCGTTGGACATACTGATATTTAGGCACGAGTGTCGTAAACATAGGATCGTGGGTGAATATACTATACTGTTTATTATCGAAATCGTCCGATCCAAATTTTAACATTCACCCCCTCGTAGGTGAACGTCCCCGATATTTTTGACGCCCTCGTAGGTGAATATTTTCGCCCTCGTAGGTGAACCCGATATTTTCGCCCTCGTAGGTGAACCCCGATATTTTCGCCCTCGTAGGTGAACCCCGATATTTTCGCCCTCGTAGGTGAACCCCAATATTTTCGCCCTCGTAGGTGAACCCCAAAATTTTCGCCCTCGTAGGTGAACCCCGATATTTTCGCCCTCGTAGGTAATACATTAATGAACAATGCTATGACGTCACATTTTTTATATGACGTTGCGTTCTACATGCGGCAAAGGCGGGCAGCCCGCCTATGTTTAAAAGTGGATTTTGGTTTATTTTCCTCAATTTGACGACTTTGGTAATAAACAGAATATTGTATTCGTGTCCATATCATACTATTTTTACGACACTCGTGCCTACATGTCAGTATATCCCTCACTCACGCTCGGGTAATACCAACACTTAGGCACTCGTGTCGTAAACATAGTATGACATGGGCGCTCATATAATATCCTCTATATACTTCGACCACGGTAGCCGTGACATTTGTCAGATGGGTACACACAATGCGTGATCAAACATCAACTTGTCAGTCTGCAATGGCTGAGTGGGTTAGATAGCTGGTGTGCTGGTGATATGGTGCCTCTCTCTGAGAGTGTGGGTCCGAGTCCCGGGATCCAAGCAACACCACTTTCCGTATATGAAGACGTCTTACCATAGTAATGTTCCTGTCGGTGTATGTACTTAGGGGTATCAGGAAGTACTAAGGAATCCGATAACGACAGGAAAATGAGTGTGATGCCCGCCAGGCGATTCCCTCATCTGGCCCATTACAATTATCGCAGCTCTCCCAGGTTAGCCTCTACTGTGCCTCTAGCGTTCCGACATACAGTTTTAAAATGGTAAAGATACAGACAGATAGATGTTTGGTGACTTACATTCACACTTTGGGATGGCATTGTTCCACTGGCCACTGGCCTGGCATGTCAGTTCTGACGCACCGACGAGTCTCCTGCCATCGTGACAGCTGATGGTCACTTTCGTCCCCACCGCCCTCTCCGTGGTCGACAGCCGCACGTCGTTGATGTTGTCAATAGTCACGATGGACTGAGGGACACTCGAGTTGGAAATCTTTGGACACGCTGAAATCAAAGAAAACTATAATGACAAACAGTTGACTGAACCCTGCTGCTTCCACTGTGACCCTCAGTGACCACAGCGATTTAGGCGTCTTGTACAACGAACATAAACTGCTGGGACTTACATTCTTCCCGGGGACCCTGCGGACTTAATATATCTTGGAAGTATTTGAGAATGGAGAATAGAGAATGCACAGGTAAGATCAAAGCTATAAAGAAGACAGACAGACAATCGACAGATCACCGACAGACCATCGATGTAGAGTCGATATAACAATACCACCACAGCTCCTATAAAGCGTTCAACAGTAACAACAAGGTATGTATCTCTACACCCACTGGGCACATTCAACAGTGACAAGAACAAGGTATGTATCTCCACACCCACTGGGCATATTCAATAGTAACAAGAACAAGGTATGTATCTCCACACCCACTGGGCATATTCAATAGTAACAAGAACAAGGTATGTATCTCCACACCCACTGGGCATATTCAACAGTAACAAGAACAAGGTTTATATATCCACACTCACTGATCACATTCAACAGTAACAAGAACAAGGTATGTATCTCCACACCCACTGATCACATTCAACAGTAACAACAACAAGGTATGTATCTCCACACTCACTGATCACATTCAACAGTAACAAGAACAAGGTATGTATCTCCACACACACTGATCACATTCAACAGTAACAATAACAGAGTATGTATATCCACACTCACTGATCATATTCAACAGTAACAAGAACAAGGTATGTATCTCCACACACACTGATCACATTCAACAGTAACAAGAACAAGGTATGTATCTCCACACTCACTGGGCATATTCAACAGTAACAAAAACAAGGCATGTATCTCCACACTCACTGGGCATATTCAACAGTAACAAAAACTAGGCATGTATCTCCACACACACTGATCACATTCAACAGTAACAATAACAGAGTATGTGTATCCACATTCACTGATCATATTCAACAGTAACAAGAACAATGTATGTATATCCACATTCACTGATCACATTCAACAGTAACAAGAACAATGTATGTATATCCACATTCACTGATCATATTCAACAGTAACAAGAACAATGTATGTATATCCACACTCACTGATCACATTCAACAGTAACAAGAACAATGTATGTATATCCACACCTACTGATCACATTCAATAGTAACGAGAACAAGGTATGTATCTCCACACTCACTGATCATATTCAACAGTAACAACAACAAAGGTATGTATCTCCACACCCACTGATCACATTCAACAGTAACAAGAACAATGTATGTATATCCACACTCACTGATCATATTCAACAGTAACAAGAACAAGGTATGTATCTCCACACACACTGATCACATTCAACAGTAACAACAACAAGGTATGTATCTTCACACACACTGATCATATTCGATAGTAACAAGAACAATGTATGTATATCCACACACACTGATCACATTCAATAGTAACAAGAACAATGTATGTATATCCACACTCACTGATCATATTCAATAGTAACAAGAACAAGGTATGTATCTCCACACACACTGATCACATTCAACAGTAATAACAACAAGGTATGTATCTCCACACTCACTGATCACATTCAATAGTAACAAGAACAATGTATGTATATCCACACCCACTGATCACATTCAATAGTAACAAGAACAATGTATGTATCTCCACACTCACTGATCATATTCAATAGTAACAAGAACAATGTATGTATATCCACACTCACTGATCACATTCAACAGTAACAAGAACAAGGTATGTATATCCACACTCACTGATCACATTCAACAGTAACAAGAACAAGGTATGTATATCCACACTCACTGATCACATTCAACAGTAACAAGAACAAGGTATGTATCTCCACACTCACTGATCATATTCAACAGTAACAACAACAAGGTATGTATCTCCACACTCACTGATCACATTCAATAGTAACAAGAACAAGGTATGTATCTCCACACTCACTGATCATATTCAACAGTAACAACAACAAGGTATGTATCTCCACACTCACTGAACACATTCAACAGTAACAAAACAAGGCATGTATATCCACACTCACTGATCACATTCAATAGTAACAATAACAAGGTATGTATCTCCACACCACTGATCATATTCAACAGTAACAAGAACAAGGTATGTATCTCCACACTCACTGAACACATTCAACAGTAACAAAACAAGGTATGTATATCCACACTCACTGATCACATTCAATAGTAACAAGAACAAGGTATGTATCTCCACACTCACTGATCATATCCAATAGTAACAAGAACAAGGTATGTATCTCCACACTCACTGAACACATTCAACAGTAACAAAACAAGGCATGTATATCCACACTCACTGATCATATTCAATAGTAACAAGAACAAGGCATGTATCTCCACACTCACTGAACACATTCAACAGTAACAAAAAATAAGGCATGTATATCCACACTCCACTGATCATATTCAATAGTAACAGGAACAAGGTATGTATATCCACACCCACTGATCATATTCAACAGTAACAACAACAAGGTATGTATCTCCACACCCACTCCATCATATTCAACAGTAACAACAACAAGGTATGTATCTCCACACTCACTGATCATATTCAACAGTAATAACAACAAGGTATGTATCTCCACACTCACTGAACACATTCAACAGTAACAACAACAAGGCATGTATATCCACACTCACTGATCATATTCAACAGTAACAACAACAAGGTATGTATCTCCACACACATTGATCATATTCAACAGTAACAAGAACAAGGTATGTATCTCCACACTCACTGATCATATTCAACAGTAACAACAACAAGGTATGTATCTCCACACACATTGATCATATTCAACAGTAACAAAAAAACTAGGTATGTATATCCACACTCACTGATCACATTCAATAGTAACAAAACAAGGTATGTATCTCACACCCACTGATCATATTCAATAGTAACAAGAACAAGGTATGTATCTCCACACACACTGATCATATTCAACAGTAACAACAACAAGGTATGTATCTCCACACACATTGATCATATTCAACAGTAACAAGAACAAGGTATGTATCTCCACACTCACTGATCACATTCAATAGTAACGAAGAACAAGGTATGTATCTCCCACACATACTGATCACATTCAACAGTAACAAGAACAAGGTATGTATCTCCACACACTCACTGATCACATTCAATAGTAACAAGAACAAGGTATGTATCTCCACACACACTGATCACATTCAACAGTAACAACAACAAGGTATGTATCTCCACACTCACTGATCACATTCAATAGTAACAAGAACAAGGTATGTATCTCCACACTCACTGATCACATTCAACAGTAACAACAACAAGGTATGTATCTCCACACTCACTGAACACATTCAACAGTAACAAAAACAAGGCATGTATATCCACACACACTGATCACATTCAATAGTAACAAGAACAAGGTATGTATCTCCACACTCACTGGACACATTCAACAGTAACAACAACAAGGCATGTATATCCACACTCACTGATCATATTCAATAGTAATAAGAACAAGGTATGTATATCCACACCCACTAGTAACAACAACAAGGTATGTATCTCCACACCCACTGATCATATTCAACAGTAACAACAACAAGGTATGTATCTCCACACTCACTGATCACATTCAACAGTAACAAGAACAAGGTATGTATCTCCACACTCACTGATCATATTCAACAGTAACAACAACAAGGTATGTATCTCATCACCCACTGATCATATTCAACAGTAACAACAACAAGGTATGTATCTCCACACTCACTGAACTCATTAAACAGTAACAACAACAAGGTATGTATCTCCACACACACTGATCACATTCAACAGTAACAACAACAAGGTATGTATCTCCACACTCACTGATCACATTCAACAGTAACAACAACAAGGTATGCATCTCCACACTCACTGAACTCATTGAACAGTAACAACAACAAGGTATGTATCTCCACACTCACTGATCATATTCAATAGTAACAACAACAAGGTATGTATCTCCACACTCACTGATCACATTCAACAGTAACAACAACAAGGTATGTATCTCCACACTCACTGATCACATTCAATAGTAACAAGAACAATGTATGTATCTCCACACTCACTGATCATATTCAACAGTAACAACAACAAGGTATGTATCTCCACACTCACTGATCATATTCAACAGTAACAACAACAAGGTATGTATCTCCACACTCACTGATCATATTCAACAGTAACAAGAACAAGGTATGAATCTCCACACTCACTGATCACATTCAACAGTAACAACAACAAGGTATGTATCTCCACACTCACTGATCACATTCAATAGTAACAAGAACAAGGTATGTATATCCACACTCACTGATCACATTCAACAGTAACAACAACAAGGTATGTATCTCCACACTCACTGAACACATTCAACAGTAACAAAAACAAGGCATGTATCTCCACATTCACTGGGCACATTCAATAGTAACAAGAACAATGTTTATAATCCACACACACTGATAACATTCAACAGTAACAAAAACAAGGCATGTATATCCACACTCACTGATCATATTCAATAGTAACAAGAACAAGGTATGTATATCCACACCCACTGATCATATTCAACAGTAACAACAACAAGGTATGTATCTCCACACCCATTGGGCACATTCAACAGTGCACTGCCTCTAATCTCCGGGCGGTATCTGTACTAGCTGCACCAATTGTACTCTCTAAACAATACACGCTGTACTAGATGCACCGATGTCTAACAACACCGTGCTTCTCACAGCCCTATTGACAGAACACAATGGCATATGTGCCAGAGCTAAACAGAACCCGAAACACCCACGTGATTAGAAGTGTGACACATTCATAGGCAAGCTACTGCTGCTGCTACATCCACGACTTCAACAACTACAACGC